GGTGAGCGGCTATCACAGAGATTGGAGAGACTGTTTGAACGGTGGATAGTGATGGTTAAAAGTGGTGTGTGTACAGTGGGTGACGATGGCGCGGAGGGCGGGATCGATAAATTCGGAGATGCGGATAGGGGTGCCTGGAATGAATATTCGATCGCACCAAGCTGGTGAGATTTCTATAAGTCTTAAGCGTCGTGCTAGAAGATATACAGCCACTATGTGTGTCATATTCCGCTAGGCTAAGCGAGTAGCCTGTATATAGTACTTATATCTCTTGCCTCCGCAGTGCCTGTATAATAAGATGTATGTTGCTCAGTATCTCAGGATGCATACTTTACAGTCAGGATGGGAAATAAGGAGTATCTTGAAAAGATGTGCCAGTAGATGATTTTCATCTTAATTGCACCCTATGTCACAATTTGACGGTGTTCGTGTTCGCTTGAAGCAGGGGCAGCTCTAGAAGGCTCATTAATTGGCTTCCTATGCTACCTCTAAGAGACACAAGAGCCACTGTAGCAATTTGTACCCGAGCAATAGTCACTCGATTTATCAAATGCTGGAGGACTTCGTGGTTGGACGCACCTGTCTACATACACTTGAGCAATTTAGACCTCCAAAACATGCCAAATTGAGCACGGAAATCACCAATCCACCTGTACTTAGACCTATAGAAGTAGCAACTCTGTACAGGATTCAGATTATATCACAGGGGGGAATAAACGCAGAGTCCTTCATGTGCAGAAATCTCTGGGGGTCAACTGGCTGAGCAATCTCTGGGGGTCAACTGGCTGAGCATGTCAACACCACGTAGTAATGACATCGCATCCCAACTCTTCTCTTTCACTTTGCCATTTGCTCGACGCTCACGAATATGACACTCTTTGTGCTCAACCGCAACATTCCCTGGGAGATTCTTTGATCTTTGACAATGGTCAAGTTCCATCCCAGATCGAGCTCTTGGGGCTGTCGCCGGGGCACCTGGTTGCGCCGCTGTGGTTACCTCGCTTGCTTCATCCTCGTCATTCAGACCTATGTATTTTTATCCAACCACCCAGAGGTGAGTCTCAAGCAGATGACACAGGACTGTTTTCGAAGCCCTCGGGTGCTTCGACCTGGGCAATATCATCAAGGGATTGAGATACCATCTCCGGAAGAGGTGGTAGATGGGGACTCGGCCGACTTGGTAGGAATGGGAATGGCTCATGATCGCAGGTAAGATCGAGAGGACCTACAAACAGTAATATGCATCTGAATCTGTCAGAGATCAGCGGTTTTTTCTCGGTGGTACTTCAACCTTGACCAGCATCACCTCGGCCAACGCATCCCATCCAATTCCATTCATCTACGATCCTTATCCCGCATATAATGGTCGCGCATGGAGGAGACAATTTCACGGCAGCTTCAAGCCATGCCTTGGTCCTCGGGGTCGTGATCTGAGTCGCAAATCGGTGGAAGACATGATGCAAGTCTACAAGGGCAATCAGGCTGGATTCCCAGAGCCTCGGTTTGGATCTCACGAGGCTATCGGCCTAGACGGGGCTGTTTGTGCAGATCGTTACTCGCGCTTCGGAGCATATGGGTTTGATGGAGATGGCGAAGATGAAGTGCCTGGTTTCACGCGCCCTCCCAAGGTGCCGTGGCACGAGGTGGACTGGAACTGGTTGCAGTATCTTTGTCTGGAGAGAAATGCTGACAGGTACGAGTCCATAGCCACGGTCAACTCTAGTCAGCAGAACCCACTGGCCTTTGATCTCCCGGAGGTTCCTCACAAGCAGTGGGAGCCAATGGAGGTGGGCGTGAAGCAGTTCCATCCCCGATCTGCGGTTCTGATCCGAGCATGGAATGGTCTCAACTGGAAATCTCATCATCGAGAATATCTGCGGGCGTTGATCATGGAGCTGTCACTGCATTCTGGAGGCGAGTATCAAATCTACGTCCTGATTCACGTCAAAGACAACGATATGCCAATATTCTCCGACAGTAAGACCATCAAGCGCTTGAGAGAGTCAATCCCCGAGGAGTTCCGCAACATGGCGTTGTTCTTCAATAATAAACTCTTGGAAGCGTGGTATCCAAAGATCGAAGAGCACGCTCCCCAGCTGCAACACCACCAGCCACTGCAGATCTTCGCCCAGCTATATCCGCATTTCGACTACTACTGGCAGCTTGAGATGGATGGCCGCCACACTGGACATAGTTATCATTTCATGAATCGTGCTGTTTCATTTGCAAGAGAGCAACCGCGGAAATACCTCTGGGAACGCAACGCGTACTTCTACACGCCAGGCGCCCACGGCAACTGGAGCCAGTTCACAGAAATGGTACACGAAAGCCTGGCCGACAGATCAGATAACACAATCTGGGGACCAGTGATAGGCACCGGCATCCGGCCCCTGGGTCCAGACCCTCCAGTATCACACCCAGACAAAGACAATTACACCTGGGGGGTAGGCGAAGAAGCAGACTTCCTCACGTTCCTCCCGATCTTCAACCCCAAAGACACATCGTGGACGTTCCCGGACAAGATCTGGAACTTCAAGTATGGCGAGAAAACACCACGGCGCGCGGCAGTGATCACAATGGGGCGATACTCGAAGCGTTTGCTCGATCTGATTCACCATGCCCAAGCCACGAAGGGACTCGGACTTGCGTCCGAAATGACAGGTGCATCATGGGCACTCTTCCACGGCCTCAAGGCTGTCTTTGTTCCGCATCCCATCTACGCAGATGGTCAATGGACGCCCCAGGAATTGGCAAGGATTTATAACCCGGGCCCGCCAGAGAATATCAATGGTGGGTCAGATAGTATCTGGAATTTCGACCATATCTTCGACCACATCACGTATCGACTCTCATACATGTTCACAACTCACAGTGCGGAGAACCTGTACCGGCGGTGGTTGGGATTCAGAACTGCAGAGCACGACGGTGGGAAGACTGTTAGTTTTTTCGCTTACTTTGGCGACCTTGGCTGATATGATTTAGATTTCCGAGGACCAGTTTGGTCGACATTGCTTCCCGTCTATCTTCTTGCATACTATCAAGAATACGGCGCAAGGGATGGGCCCAGACAGGGCTGTTCCTTAATGATACATTTGTCTGGAGGGTAAGAGAGCCGAGAATTCAGATTAGCCATTAGAAATCGATTACTGTTATTCGTATCAGCCTGTTGAAAGGTGCAGGTCCCATTCAATCCAAGGTTGGCGCTACAAGTATGTAGCATGTTTTTCTTGGGCATCCATACATGCGTACATTCCAGGGTTATCATATTGATAATGCATTTGCACCTGGTCCACGGAGTTCACGGGTGCTTGGAAGGCTAAGTGTATAATCACGATTACTTTCAAGTTTGAGTGAGATTGTCTTGTCCAGGCCATTGTATACTTACACCCGGGCAAGATTACGAAGTACCCTTGTATACTCCTTATCGTCTCAGACATAAATGCCCGAGACATCGGGAGTGTACCTACCTAGGTACCTAGGTAGCATCGTTCATCAAGCGCTGGGGTAACACCCGCACACGGCAAAACACTGCACATGAATATAGAGAAATAAAATTGTATGTAACTCCAATATTTTACTTAACTATGAGGTAGTTTTTGATACTGAAAAATACAAAAGAATCCAGAGACCCAATAAACAACCTTCTACTCATATAGACCAATTTGAAGCTCTGGCTTAATTACAAGGTATCATATATTTTCATGAGGCGACTAACTTATTTGTGGTACTTGTTGTACATATCAATGATCTTCTGCACCTCATCCTTGGAGCCAAGGAAGACACCACTCTTATCGTGGATGTGCTCAGGAACAACCTCCATCAAGCGCTCCATGCGCGAGTTAACAGCGAGACCACCGGCATTCTCGAACAACATAGCCATAGGCGCACACTCGTACAAGATACGCAGCTTTCCCTTAGGACTCTTCGAGTCAGCGGGGTAAGCAAAGACACCACCGTAAAGCAGGGTGCGATAAGCATCGGCAACCATGGAGCCGATGTAACGGGCAGAGTAAGGCTTGCCACCGTCCTCGGGGTACTTGAGGCTGTGGAAGTAGGCGTTACACCACTCATCCCAGTACTTGCTGTTACCCTCGTTGACGGAGTAGATGGAGCGGGAGGGGGGCATTTGCATGTTAGGGTGTGTGAGGATGAATTCGCCGAGGGAGTTTTCCAAGGTGAAGCCGTTGACGCCACCGCCGCGCATTGTGATGACTAGCTGGGCGGAGGCGCCGTACATGGTGAAGCCTGAGGCGACGAGGCTGGTACCCGGGTGGAGGAGGTCTTGAGGGCCGACGGACTTGTTAGGGCCGAGGACTTCGTCAGGGAGCTGGAAAATTCCGAAGATGGTGCCGACGGAGACACCGGCATCGAGGTTGGAGGAGCCATCGATGGGGTCGCAGACGACGGCGTATCGGGCATCTGGGTGCTCGTCGAACTTGATGACTTCTTCTTCTTCCTCGGAGACGACGATACGGCACTTTCCGGAGCCGCGCATAGCGGAAATGAAGATGTCATTGCCGATCACGTCGAGCTTTTTTTGGTCATCGCCGGTTGTGTTAGAGGAACCGGCCAGACCGGTGAGGTTGATAAGGGAGGCTCGACGGATGTAGTAGGCAATTGACTTGAAGGAGAATTGGAGAGCATGGCAGAGAAGGGTGAAGTCTCCAGAGGCTTCAGGGTACTTGATCTGCTCTTCTGTGAAGAAGCGGGACAGGGTGACGATGTCCGTGTTGATGTTCTCCGCACCAACGGGGGCGGATGAAGCCATGATTGTAGATGTGAGATTTAGAGGTATGTGTAGAAGGAGGAGGTTGAGTAGATGTAGGAGGAAGCAATTTAAAAAGTAGAAAGTAGGATCAAATAAGAAAAAGCAGTTAACGTCAGAGGAAGTAAACCGGTAGAAGTAGTGACTGGGGGTTTTCGTCATTCTGCCCCGCGTGACCCTCTCCGGTTTTCCCCCCGATTTTGCCCGCCCACTTTTGTCCTTTTTGTTTCTTGTTTCTCGTCTTCTGCTGGTGTTTCCATGATATTCTGCTTATATTCTACTTCTTATTGTGTGTTTCTCTTCTAATTACTCATATTCACCTCCAATTCTTGTCCGGGGACACCAATTGCCTCCCAATTCCAACCTGACAACCCCCCATCTACATCTCCGTACAGGGTCTAGATCCGATCCCTCTCCCTCGGCCTCGGGATCGGCGGAGAAATCAATTCCCTGAACCCCACCCGAAGTCATGCGGACTTGAAAATATCCTATGCGGATCGCGGTCAGGGGGTGAGGGATATACTGGACTGGTATACTCGAGTCGAGACGATAGATGACTCCCTGCTCTATTAATAATGCTCCTAAGTGGAGACGGATCTACAAGGTGGTGGGACTCATTGGCAGATAATGTATAATCTAAACCCTTTACAGTACAGACAAGAGAATAAAATCCCCTGGACAAAACAAAAAGAAAAAGAAAAAGAAAGACTAGTCAACAGGATCCTCCTCCAAAATGGTCTTGAAGCTGAACGGCATGAAGGGAATTCCCTCACCGACAAAGTGCTTGCTCATCGCCTCAACCCAGTGAAGACGGAGGGAGTGCAACATGGCACTGGTGCCTTCCATCACACAGAGAATACAGATCGTCAGCACAAACCAGAGGTAGAAGCTGACCACGATCATAATTACACGAGTCACGGGGGACTCCTGCTCAAAGGCACTGCCAATGGTCATGGTCCACAGAACGATGGAGAGCTGCTGGTGGGCAAGCGACAAGGCCCAGAGACGGAGGTATGAGGCAGTGTGGGAGATACAGTTGAGACAGAACTCAATGGTGTGAATGACCTGGTGGATCATGATGTCGCCAAAGTCGAATTCCTCGTGCTCCTCGCCATCACCCATGTCCTGAGCGAGCATGGCCACCCCGTCATCGCTAGTGCGACCGCCCAGCAGAGCAGTTTCATCACCATCTTCATCCAGGGCGCTAACCCGGGAGTGCTCGCCGAGGCCACGGTAGCCCAGGGATCGGGCCTTGTTGTGCTCATGGCGCAGCCAGAAGGGCTTGAGGAACAGCATCACGGGGACCTGAACCACCGCGATGAGAAGCAGGAAGATCTGAACGGTGGCCTGACCGGGGTACAGTTGTTCTTCCTCGGCAACTGAGCCGGGACTCAGGAACATGAAGATAAGCATATTGAGGAGATTGGGAGGGTTGACTCCCTTCTCCTGCCAGTTAATGGACCACTTGTAGAGAATGGTAAGGACGAGGTAACCAAAGATAGACTGGAAGAAGAGCATGCCAGGAACGAAATTGCCCCAGATATCGACCTTGGACTTGAAGTGCCGTCCGTTGACGTACTGCAAGCAAAGGGCGTAGGTCATGTGGCACCATCCGAGTAGAACACTCATCTTCATCTTCATACTGTTGGAGAAGAGCAGAGAGTTGTCTGCCTCATGCCAGTTCCAATCCAGACCGAAGGGGAAGCGGTAGCCCTCTTTCAGGGTAGCTTCGACCATCTCGCCAGCCTTGATGTCGGAAGGCCATTGCCACTGACTAGGGAAGATGGTGAAGGATTTAGAGAAGATATCGTTGTAAATGAAACCAGTGTAGATCGAGAACAGACCCATCATCAACATGATGTATCGTCCATAAAATGCCATGTATGTCAGCTCATCCAGCTTGGTCCGGTGGAGCTTCTTCTCCCAGAAGATCATAGCAGAAGCAGCCGTGGTCATCAGGAAACCGTGACCGCAGTCACCGAACATAACCGCGAACAGGAAGGGGAATGTGACAACGGTGTACAGACCAGGGTTGACTTCGGAGTACTTGGCGATACCGTAGGCGTCAACGATGGTCTGGAACGCCTCAGTGAACTTGTTGGTTCGGACATAAGTGGGAGGGGTCTTGTTGGTTCGGATCTGGTTGACAATGGTGGGGACAGTCAGGCCAGCACGGTCATTCACATCCTGCAAGGTCGACTTGATCAGAGCAAGAGAGTTTGTCGGGCACCAGGCCTCGGCGATCAATGTCTTCCGCGCTTGGTCGTAGGAGAACTTGTTGAGCGTGGCGTACACGGCCTTCTCCTTCTTGACAATGATCATCCATGCTGCCAGGGAGCGGGCAATCTGCGAGAGCTCCGCGTCGAGGGTGCTCTTGGTGTTGCGAAGAACGCTGCCGACATCGCCTAGGCGGGTGTTCACCTCGTGAATCTGGTCCCTTCGCAGCTCGCTGTTCTCGTCGACACCGTACAACGATGCCTGGAGACCCTCCGAAAGCTTGCGGATCTTGGTGAGGATGTTCTTGCCGTGGGCGAAGATGACGAAAACATTCTTGTAGACCGGCTCGTTGGTCGATGGGTCGATGATGGGCTCCTGAATCTCAGACTGGTTCATGTACAGGTTACCACGCAGGGTGCGCCAGAGCACACGCTCAAGGGTTCCAATCTTCTCCCGGGGGATGACACCAGCAACAAAACCAATGTTCATCTCCGAAAAGCTCTGGGCCTGGGTGTCTCCGTTCTGGCGGGGGCCATGGTGCTCAACATCGCGAAGCAGAGGAGCTTCGTCATTGTCGAAGGATTGGCGAATATCCTCGGTTTGGGTGTGAGCCTATTCAGTTAGCCTGGTCAACATTGACTGCAATCGTGTCCACTCACCCGGTCAAAGAATCCACCAGCTTCTCTAAGCACCCAACGCCATTCAGTCAGCTCGACCTCCCGTTGCTGAAGGGTTTCATAGCTCTCGTTCAGGGAAGCGATTCGCTGTTCGAGGCTCTCACTGCGGTCGGACAATTCATCGATCTCCGACGCAAGAGGGGCAGCCAGGGTATCGGAAAATTCATGTGAGGACCGCAAGGGGATGTGAGATTTTTCAATCTGCTCGTGGAAGTAGCGGAGCTGTCTCTCAACATTGTCCAGGCGACGGATTTCCTTGGTGAAGGTCCTTTGGAAAGCGTTCGTGTCCGGGTTCAACTACTCCAGTCAGCGAGTTCTCATCAGGCCTTTTGTATCACTTACGTCGCGGAACTGAACCTGGCCGACTTCACCCAATGCACTGACGACCTCTCTTCCGATCTCGTTGGCGATGTAGAGCTGGGTCA